ATATTAATAAATAGTGTTGAACGTGGAATATGTTACATTCCAATATTCACAATTGGTTAATATCAGATCTGTTTTGCATATCCTGTACACGGAAAATAACCCGTTATATAATATTGTCATTTTTATTGCGACACAAAAAACCGACTCTGCCTCTTAAACGAGAGCTATCTTCTCTAGAAATATAATCTACAGTGTTATTAAGAGCTTCCAAAACAACCCTTAACCCTCCACAGACACCCAGCCGAGGTCATGCCTTGGAACTGCCTCTTCACACGCAGTAACTGTCTGTGGCTGAAACTCGTGTTATGTTAAAAAGGCATATTGTCAAGAGAAAGTGCTTGAGAAAATGCCTGTTGTGTTAGCGTGGAGGTCCTATGAACTGGCTTAGCGGTCGGAAAAGTAAAAATTGGTTAATATTTAAGAAAGCGTAATGGAAATCGGATAATCTGGTTCATTGGGGATCTCACAGAAGGTCTTCCTACAGGCGGAAAATATTTCTTTATTTATCCGGATGGTTTATGTGTCTGAATATGTTTGTTTGTCACTTTTTCGCATATAGAATTAAAATAATATTACTCTATTCGGTCACATACATTTTTTTCCTTAAATTTTAAAAGAATAATGAATAATAATAATAAACAAATAAAAAGAATGTTAGTGGCACAACTAAACTAAACAGTAGAATTAAAATAATATTACTCTATTCGGTCACATACTGTGTTAAAATGGCAATAGTGTTTTGGTTCTACGTTTTTTTTCCCACAGTGTCTGAAAGATGAGCCGTTCTGTCGAAAAAGCGAAGAAAAAAAACCTTACTCCTTGCTGAGCTTTCTGAGAGGCTGGCGAGGTTAGTGGCACAACTAAACGCATTTTTTTTCATTATGTTTAGTCTTATTATTGTCGGGTTTAAGGACCTACTTGAGGAATGTTTACTCTGGATCTTCTAATCATTTTCTTTCCTTAAATTTTAAAAGAATAATGAATAATAATAATAAACGAATAAAAAGAGTCGGTTACGTCATCGAAATAAACTAGATCATGGAGTAAACATTTTCTGAGAAAAAAAATATAAATAACCTAGCCATTCCTGAGCAATACCAAAGCAACCACTGCTTGCGCTACGAGGCACAACTACTCCAACAATTGCCCGTGACAGTAAAACGCCATCTATCAACGAGAAAACCAAACACGAGGACTTAGGAGCGACGCCAAGAAAGTCTTAGAAGCGACGCCAAGATTCCGAAACGTGGCATCGGCAGCGGCGTTGAGATCCCCAATGCGCCATAAGCGATAGCAACTCGAGTTTTGTTTACAGCCTCGGATTTAACTTCTTCTCTGGTGGGCGGTGGGAGTGGGTAGGGGATGGGGGATGGTGGGTTGGTATGAGGGTATGAGGAGGAGGAGATGAGGAGACACGAGGAGGAGGGAGGACGTGAGGAGTGCGTGAGGGATGGGTGAGACGCCTACGATAAGCCTACATTGTGTTGCGTGTATGTTCGGTATGTGTGTGTTTGTATCTTGGCTTGTTTTCCGTGGGTGTTGGGTATTGCGTGTGTATGCGGGTGTTTTTATGCAAATGGTAGAAGAGAGGATGCATAATTTGGCATATTTATGGGCGTGTAAAATGTATAGTGTGGGATGGGTGTGGTAGTCAAAATACATGGGTATATCTACGGCGGTTCCACATCCGTATATAAGTTTTCTAAACCTGTTTTCTTAAATGCATATTCAAGAGGGGCTCCCAGTTACCCTGTGTTTTCATAGCACGGGTGAAGTCTGCTTTCTTTCCAGATAGCCCTAGCCTTCTCTACGGGAATCAAAATACATAAAAATACAAAAAAAATGTATGTATATATTTTTTTCTGTCTTTTTTGCTGCCAGAAGACACTTTTTGGTTGGGTATGATGAAGTTTGAAAAATGCGAGACTTAAACAATAGGGGCAACCGACTTGACATATGAAACTTTAAGAAACAGCTGCTAGCCCCCCCCTCCCTCCCCTCCCCGCACATCTCCCCAGCCCAACCCACCCACACCCTGCTCTCATCCTACACCCACAACACACCCCCTCACTAGCTACCGCCTCCCCGCCCACAGAGAACTCTCTTGCGCTTCTTTGTTCTTAGAATTTATACAAAGTACGTGCAATCGCCTTAGAGAGTACTTTCATGGGATGATATTCACCAGCATTAAGTACGGTCATTATTTCGTCTCTCTGGGCAAGTCAGGAAAGTATCAATACTCGATTTTCTTATCGGAAGTACTTTCACCCCGTTATGCACACCGTTGCCAGTCGCATGCAAGGGGACGACCTATCCTTCGCGCACCCTACCCTACCAGCGTGACCAATACTTACTTGCGACGACTGAACGACAACAGTTATTCCGAAACAACCCGGGCGTCGTCCTCGGCTAGAACACACTGGGTATCAGAGTACGACTGGGCAGGGCGGGCGCTCTTGGTCTGGCCTGCCCTCCCTCGCCGCGCCCACGGTTGCCGAAGGCCGCCAGGTACTGTAACTCTTCGCCTTCAGGGGGTCAAGAAGAGATGGAAAGAAAGAAAGAAGAAAATGCGGATTAATTCACGGGCGATGGGAAGGTTGTTTACGTGCAACTCCTGGCGTGCATTTTGGATGTCTAAATATTTGGTCGTGACTTCCCTACGGTGCCATGTGTGCAAATACGACGATGTGTGTTTCAGATCAACCACAACGGCAGAGAGAGAGACTGGCTGGCCACAGGGAGGAGGGAGAGGGAGAGAGAGAGAGAGAGGAGAGAAGTTTCTAGGGTCTGTAGAGCCAGTCTTGAGAAAGAGCGTTCATGGGAAAGTTCAGTAAAAATATTTACTCTTTGAACTTCTGAAAGCTGCATGTGTCATCGCTCGCTTTGCTCTGGTTCTTGGTTTTGAGATAGATTGAGAGAGATGTTTATTTTTGCGTTGTCCTTTCATTGGCCTAGTTTCTGTCTTTGTCCTTTTTAAAAGACTTTCTCTCATTTTTAATCGCTCTCTCTCTTTCTCTTTTTCTCACTTTCTGTTTTCTCTCTCTCTCTCACACTGTTTCTCTCTATCTCTGTCTCTCTCTCTCTCTCTCTCTCTCTCTCTCTCTCTCTCTCTCTCTCTCTCTCATTCTCTCCTCTCTCTCTCTCGTCATTCTCCTCTCTCTTCTCTCTAACAAATTCTACTCTCCAATTCAGAGGGATACTGGCGAGATGGCCACTTATTTTTGAGATGAGAGAGCAGGTCGTCTGAGACCTCGTGAGACGATTGCGTAGTTATCTTAGTTCTTGTCCTCATTTTCAAGATCGCTCTCATCTCTTCTTTCTTCTTTATTCTCTCTCTTTCTCTGTTTCTCCTTCTCTTCCTCTGTTTCTTCTCTCTCTCTTCTCTGGCTTTTCTTCTCTATCTATACTCTGTCTCTCTCTCTCTCTCTCTCTCTCTCTCTCTCTTCTTCTCTTCTCTTCTCTCTCTCTCTCTCTCTCTCTCTCTCTCTCTCTCTCTCTTCTCTTCTCTCTCTCTCATTCTCTCTCATTCTCATACTCACTCCACTCACTCGTCTCTTCTCTCTCTCTCTCTCTCTCTTCTCTCTCTCTCTCTCTCTCTCTCTCTCTCTCTCTCTCTCTCTCTCTCTCTCTCTCTCTCTCTCTCTCTCTCTCATTCTCTACTCTCTCTTTACTTTTCCCTCGTCTCTTTCTCTTCCCTGTTTAGGCTTCATTTTTCTTTTCCTATCACCATTTTTATTCTATTCTTCCTGTTCTCCTTTTATTTCTAACAGCTCCCGCCTATGGTAGCAGTAAGTAGCAAATAAAAGGATTACAGTCAGTGTGTAAGAACAAAATTTGTTGATCAGTAAAATAACAAGTAAATGTCTAATAACTCGTTGTATTTCATATCTTAGTTGTACAAGTAAGGATCCTCGTTATTTAGAACAAACAGACAAAGAAAATGATAATGATAATAATGAGAATGTCTTTTTATGATTCCATTTTTTTCAATTCATTTAGAAAACAATTTATATTTTTTTTAGATTTATTTAGTTATTTATCTTTTTTTGAATTCTACATCAGCGTTTTGTCCCATTAATTCAGTTTGGATTTGGTAATAAGTACTTATAGAATTCAGTTTGTTTTTCTTTTTTTTCTTTGAGTAAAATTTCCTATTTCTAAGAATGAATATTCGCATACTCAGACAATCATATACACATAAATAAATGCATATCTATCTATATAATAAATATACATTTTTCTATCTATCTGCCCGGTTAATATAAATGTCTAAACGGATAGATATACATTTATTCCTTTAAATATGCGTGTCCGTATAATGAATGTTCATTAGTGAATGTTGTTGCATGACTGTGCTGGTTTGTGGATGTTGCATGTGTGTTTTCGTTTGTCTGTGTGAAAGTGGATGGAAGTTGTTGAAGTGATGCTGTGAGTGTGTATAGGCGCGAGTGGGTGTAAAAACCTGTTGGTATGTGCGTGTGTGTGTGTGTGTTTTTTTGTTTGGGTGTGTTAGTGTTTGTTTGGGTGTGTATCTGTATTCCTGTGTGTATGTGTCTGTTTGTTTGTGTGAGTATTTGTATGTGTGTTTGTTCGTTTGTGTGTATGTGTGTTTGTCTTTGTATGTATATGTATGCCTTGTGTGTATGAGTGTTTGTGTATGTGTATGTATTTGTTTGTCCGTTTGTATGTGGGTGCGTGTTTGTTCGTTTGTGTGTGTGTTTGTTTGTCAGAGTGTGCAAAGACAAGGTGATGCCAACGTCTTGCTTGTATGACCCAAAGATATTTTGAATACGTAAACACAGATGAAATATGAAATAAACACTTCATTCGATTTTGATATAAAGGTCAAAATTACTCTCTTATTTCCCTCTCTAATTGGATGCCCCCCCCCCTCCTTAATTCCACTAGTGGGTGTATTATATATGTGCGTGTGTGTGTGTGTGTGTGTGTGTGTGTGTGTGTGTGTGTGTGTGTGTGTGTATGTGTGTGTGAAGCCTAGATAAGCATATTTTTGAGTGACAGACAGACAGCCACGTGACGTAAGCATCTCTAATAGTGAATTCTGAATATGAATGTATGATTAACGATGAAATAGACTCAAAAAAAAATTAAACCAATCTGAAAATACTTGATTGAAGAAAACAATACTCCCAATTAAGTTACTAATCAATCGTGTCGGAAAACTTTTTTAAAAATTAAATCATGCGCTGATTTTAACGAATTTAACGGTTTGTTTTCTTTCTTTTCTTTTCTTTACTTTTTAAAATCAAGTTCATATCTTGAAGTCATTTTGTTTCGCTCTTCTTTATTAGTTTTCTCGTATTTACATGCATTAACTTCAATTTAATCAATATATTTTGCAACTTAGTGCATTATGTCATCGTGTTATCTGTGCATTTTTCTTTTCACTTATCTATTTTTGCCTTTTCTTTTTATTTTATTTCCTCTTCATCTTCCGCATTTTATCGGACACAGTCTATTCCCTTTTCTTTTTATTTTATTTTCTATTCCTCTTTCGACTTTTATCGGACACGGTCTAGTCTTGACAACTTCTCTCAAACGCTTCTTCATTATTGACTTTATTTATCCACTTATCCAATATCCATTATAGTCTTTCTCTTATTCATTGACCATTTTGTTTGGCTTATTCATCTTTCATAATTGATGACTCGCTTTTCGATTCGTCAACGTAAGAGTCGGGGGTCGTAGAAGTTGGTAGTGAATTAAAGGGGACTTTGATTGAGGGTTTTATTGGGGAGGTAAAGGTGTGACCCCCAAGAGTGACCTCGCGCCCCGAGTCCCAAGAGTGGAGAGTGACCTCGTGCCCCGAGTCCCCGAGGGCGGAGAGTGGAGAGTGACCTCGCGCCCCGAGTCCCCGAGTCGCGGAGAGTGGAGAGTGACCTCGAGACCTGTGCCTCCTGCTAGGTCTTGGTCTGCTTCTGGTGCTCTGTCTCTCCCTACCTGACGAGACGCCCTTGTATCCAGCGACTCCTCGTCCTGCTGGCGGAGGTGCCTCTTACCCTATTCTTCGGGTGTCCATTCCGGCCGCGTGACGAAGGGCTGGTCGCTGGAAGAGAAAGTCTTGGGCTGGCAAGGAAGGTGCGAAGCCAGGAAGTCAGGCAGCTGCAATGCCTAGGTGTGAAGCCCAACCCATCCGGTTTGCATGTTGCTGACACTATTCATTCTTAGTCCATCTTCCTATTCATATTCCGTCATTTTCACTTATTCATTAGCCATATATATTTACATATATATATATACATATATATACATTACATATATATATATATATATATATATATATATATATATATATATATATATATATATATGTATATGTATATGTATATATATATAGATATATATATATATATTTCCACACATACATACATGCATACATATAGAGATAGTAGATAGATAAATAAAAATAGATAACCCACACAGTACACACACACACACCACCACACACACACACACACACACAATACTACATACACACCATAATATATATATATAGTATATATATATATATATATATATATATATATATATATTATATATATATATATATATATATATAGTATATATTATATATATATATATATATTATATATATATATATAATCACATGAAAGTTTCCCGGGGAACATGCCATCCAGACATAACGAAGAAATATCTGCAAGAAACAGATGACAGCGAGCCTCATACCAAAGGGACAAAAGGGAAGAAGAAGAAGAAGAAAAAGAAGAAGGAGGAGGAGAAGAAAAAGAAGAAGAAGGAAGAAAGGAGGAGAAGAGAATAGAAGAAGAGGAGGAGGAGAGGAGGAGGAGGAGGAGAAGAAGCAGAGAAGGAAGAAGAAGAAGCAGAGGAAGAAGAAGAAGAAGAGAAGAAGAAAAAGAAAGAAGGAAAGAAGAAGAAGGAGGAGGAGGAGAAGAAGAAGAAGAAGGAAGAAGAAGAAGAGAGACAGAAGAAGAAGAAGAAGAAGAAGCAGAGGCAAGAAGAAGAAGAAGAGCAGCAGAAGAAGAAGAAGAGAAGAGAACAAAGAAGAAGCAGGAAGAGAGGAAGGAGGGGAAGAAGAGCAGGAAGGCAGGCAAGTGGCAAGGCGCGCCACCTCGTCTCACCCCAGCTGCGAGATCCTCCGTGTCAGCTGTGACTCACCAGAGAGAAAGACAGAAGCCAAAGAGTGTGTGTGAGCGGGAATGAGGTTTGTTCCATTGACGCCCCGATCTGGAGTGTGAGGTGTGAGGTGGTGTTGTGGGGGGTGGTTATGGGCGTGGGGTTTGGGCGATGCTGTGGGAAGGAAGTGGTTGTCTTGTATTTTATTTAGAGCTCCCGGTAGAGGGAATGTATATCGATGTGGGAAAGTATGTCTGTATGTATGTATCTGCTAGCATATTATTTCTGCAAAAGAGGGTCACAGGTGCGAATTATCTGCAGTCCCATCCTTAATTGCATCGTGAGAAGGACAGCAATATTTTTTTCCCTAGAGTAGCCTTCCTA